TGAGTGAAGTGAACTCTTAGCGCATATACCTCACTATAAACAATCTAGCGGACTTGAGAATAGCACGGTGCGCTGGACGCCATGGTTTAGAAGGCCGCCAACTAGTGATTCAACTCAGACCTCGTATTCCCCCTAGTCTGTGTTTATTTATACTGGCCGACTCGTTGACTGAGAGTCAGGCTGTAGTAGCTACTCCTTACTGTGGCCTTTATGACACTGTCACTCTGTTAGGATTCGAGTCGTTAATCGCCCCTCATCCCCCTTCTTATTGTGTGAAATCCTAGTTATTTGGCGTAATCTGGGTGGTGTTGTGGTACGCCCAGGTGCGGGTTCGCGTCGCGTCAGTCACCTGCGCGTGATTCCGTCTCCGGTCTTCTTGACTCCGTCTTCACGACGGGTAAATGTGGGAGAGAGAGAGAGAGTGTTGTAGATGCTACGAAAGTCAACTACTTCACTCGCAGGCCTCTGTTCCTGCTCCCATCAGGTCTTGGAACACACACAGTGTACATCATCGGAATCGACGATCGAGCTGTCCTCAGGCAGTAAAAATAGGCAGACAGCCTGTGCCTAAGCCAACGGCCTCATGTGCCAACAACCAAAAAAATTTATTACAAATGACTGGTTTCTAGTGGAGTTTAGGAATAACCTATAGCAACGAGACATTGTTTTTACGGCTTCCAGAGCCAAAAAACAAAATGCTCCACCCACTCCAGACAGAGAAGCGACTGAGTTTAACCAAAGAGGCGTCTGCCGACTGCCCGTAAGATTGACCACACCTTAGGATGGCAAGGTCGCCTACTTTAGCTTTCTCCGCCAATACAACTGGTGGCTTTGGTAGTCATTCGCGTCCCTTGCATAATGCGTGACTAGCCCTGGATCGTCGTAGTGGTCTGCTACAGTGAAAGTCTCTATCCGACTCGTCTACGGATAAGACCCCATCCTCAAAAGTGATGCTGGCAGGAGCATCCATGTTGGTAACGGATATACCAGAGTGGTGTCCTTCTACGTTTCAGGGTACTACCACTACTGGTTCCGCGACTACTTATCTGCCAGGTCCAAGAAATTGCATATTTCGTTCCTGGCCTTCGCTGGAAGTCCATTCACTATACAGCACTTCTGGATACACCGCATAACTCCAGCCTAGTGATCACCTCCGCCTCCACGGAAGAGAATCCAGTTAGTTTGATGCCGTTATGCGGGCCTTAGTCGACAGAGTTCAATTATAGTAAGCTATTACCTCGAAATGTACACTGGTGGTTTTCGAGTTGGATGAAGCCTCTTAAGAAACTTCAGGCCCATCAATAAAACATTCAGCCAATGTCACGCAAGCTATCCGCACAAATTTTACTTTTTGTCTTAAAGTTCCAGTCTATAGGCCTCGCAAGCGGTTGCGTAGTAACGAGTAATTAGCAGGCTGAAAGCACTACCGAGAAAGACGACGGACATTAGAAGGGCCGTCGTTAGTAAGGCCCCTCCTGCCTATCTTGCCCTTGTCATTAATGTTTGTCAATTACTCAAAATCGGGCTGATTACTTTGCCAACTGGGGATTGTATGCATCTCCTAAAAGGTCAGCCAGGCTATATTTGACTAGTCTCTTATTGCCCATCAGCACGAGTTGGTCGCAGTCGTTTTTTCGACCCTCACAATGTTACTCTCGCCTCCTGAATGCTACTTTACTTCGACTTCGTCCACCCCTTCCCAACCATTCACTCGACCCTCCTTGTTCAAACTTTTAGCACCGCAGTCTGTGGCCGTATTCGATGTGTTAGGGATTGTTTGCTGTGTTGATGGGCTGGGGAAAAAAGAAGAAACTTACCTCATTTGCGGTGATTATTCGACCATCGATTTCGATTATGCCCACCATAGGCCCAAGAGCAGGGATGGTGACTATAGTCAGGTATAGTGAAAGTAGACAAGCAACCATCTACCACACTCTAAACCCTCTCCCGCTTGAACTGGTGACAAGACAAAGTCGAGGTGACCGAACAGGAATCAGGTGTAGGCTGCTTTCTCCAATACAGGCCAGAACACCACCTACTTATTCTTAAGTGGCAGTAGTCCTCTGCGTTGGTACTACCGCACTATTTACCCCCACTCACCTTCAGTGGGGTGTCAGCAGGTGTCCAGAAAGGCTCAAGGACACCGAGTCTTATATTGCTACTACTGCTACCATTATTTATACTACTGTTTACTAGCAGTGTAGCTGAGTGGTAGTAGTGCTAGTACTATAACTGAGGCTAATACTCGGTCAGAAATGACCCTGATTAGAGTCCGCGCTGGGCTCGTGTTCCCTTGACCTCAACTGGGAATTGGGACCGGGATTTATGCTATTCCGGGTAAAGTAGATGTTTGAGGCTCGGAGCACAGTAATGCATGCCGCAATTTTCACCCTCCCGCCTCTATTCACCAAAACTGTATCAGTTTTCCTAAAGTGTAAACTACGAGAGTTAGGATACTGTTGCTAGAAGAAGTATGCCAATTTAAGGAGTGCTAGCTTTAGTAATCATGCTTGCTAAGGCCAGTAATTAGTATACTAGAACTCGGCATGTATGTGAATGTAGGAAATTTGAACCTAGTATGCAGTCGCAACTTATATCGAGATTAGTAAAATGAAGGGTAAAAGAAACGTTTTAAGTATAATAGCTGAAGATCAGCCATGCATTAAGGTCATAACGAAGAGGAATTTGCCGTTTTCTCAGGCTATCTTTGACTGTCTACAGTACCTAGCTCTAACTAATGCTCTGAATGCGAGTTCGACCATTGATTCCGACGATGGTCGCCGTGTTCTCCACAGTATGGCGGTTCAGGGACGGTGACCTACGCGTGAAGTAGTTTTAAGTGATAGTAGACTCAGAAGAGGAGGATACGATCACTGGAACAAGAGTTTTATTTTCCTGACTTTTCGGACTCCGTCGGGTATCCTTAATCATAGGTGAGGGTAGCATAGTCATAGTCATGTGCAGATGATAGTAGACTTTCGTTGTATCTACCGCACTCTCTCTCTCTCTTCCTCCACTCGTCCAGGGCCGTCAAGCCTGACACAGATCTCGTGGAATGTGGGTGACTTAAATGCCACGGCTGGCTGGTGCCTGAGCCTGCAGCTATGCATGCCGCAAACGCTCTCTCCCTCATGTTCGGCATTTGTTATGGGAGTTCAGCCCGAATAACGCTAACCGTCCCCTGGTCTGCCTCTTCCCCTCCTGTTGGTCCAGTGCATCTGCCATGCGGTCCGTTTAATTACTCGCTTCGGTAGTACATATGCTTAGATTAATGACTTACAGTACTTCTGGAACACGATCATCTAAAGTCATGTTAGTTTTTTCAATGAAGGTTAATTCTACGGAAAAGGGCTAAATCTCATTCGAGCAGAGTTTATACAATGACTCAGATGAATCGTTCACCAGGTTTCTAAAAAAACTACTCAGTTATACTCTCAGGAATATCTGGAATGTTTTAGAAAGCGATCCTCTACTAGTTTGAGGCGTCTTTGGCCGCGACAATCATGCATGTGTAGTGCAGATATTTGATGCTTACTCCAGAATCCCCATTCTTGGTCTTCTCATATAGAACCATTTTATACGGTTCTTTGAGTTTTGATGGTGAGAATATCTTTCATAATGTTTTATTTTAAAACAGTTTCCTGAAATTAAATAAACCGGGGTATACTGTCACCCTCTCTGTCTAGATATGGCCCAGTTGACTGGTATCAGACGTGTCGACGCCTAAGCCTAAAGAAACCCCACTGCAAGATAATTATGCAGAAAACAGCAAAAAACAATGCACTCGATTCAATTTTTCTCCTCACGTTTCGTTGAAACGATAATTTCTTAACGCAGCCTCAATAACGACTAACCGGTCAGGTTGTACACCTAGGGGTTTGAGCCTAAACTAGTTCATACTCGGACGTTTGAGCTAACTAGTTGACCAGTTGCGCCGCTTTAATCGTGTGTGGTATCCGACTTGTCAGTAGTTGTAGGTCTGGTACTTGTAATGGCGACCAGGCCGTTTATGCGCGCAGAATAGGGTGGTTTAGCCATGTACTTCACTGCCTACGCGCGGACTCCTGGTGTACTTGACATTAGCAGAGAAGAAGAAGAAGAAGAAGAAGAAGAAGAAGAAGAAGAAGACGAAGAAGA